AATAAGTAAATAAATACCAGCCCAATCTAGATCAAAGCCACAAACAAAGTCGAGGGGAAAAGAGTGAATGTGTGTGTGTGCAGAAATGGACTTTGGCAACCAAAATATCAGGCGCAGGTCCCACCACAAGCCTTTCACTCAACTTCCCATCTTACTCCACTGGGTTTCACCCTGAAACTTTACCTTTCCTGGGCGGAATTCAGGAAAAAGTTCCGTGACACAGGGCAAGGCCTTAGTGGTGTCTCGTTGCATGATCCCGGCCAGAGGCAGCGTGAGCTCCCCTTCCTTGGATTCTGCTTTCCTGGAGTCCTGGGGGCCCATCTCCGACTCAGAATCTGAAGAGCTGCTGGAATCCAACTTCCCCAAAGCCGAGGGAGCAATGATGGAGGGAAGAATGATGCCGTCGCCATCCTCTGAGCCTGGAAGAGAGCAAGTCTCTCAGTCACACACACAGAGACACAAACCTCAGTTTGGTAGAAGCAAAGAGATCCCAGCAACTGAGCCACTGACCTCAGAAGGAAGCCGGCATCTTGAGAATCTTACACTTATGTTTAAGAAATAATATTGCAGGGAGAATAAAAAAATGTCAAAAGGATCCTCTAGAAAACTATTTATCTAGTTGGGCTCTCCATTTGCAATATTATGTTACATATAATTATATCTATATAAATAAAAATGTAATGTTTGTTTGTGGGATTAACAGAACTCAAAAACCACTGGACAAATTGACACCAAATTTGGACACAAGACACCTAACAACCCAAGATATGTCCTTCACTCAAAAATTGATTTTGTCATTTGGGAGTTGTAGCTGCTGGGATTTATAATTCACCTACAATCAAAGAACATTGAACCACAACAACGATGGAATTGAATCAAACTTGGCACACAGTTCATGACCAACAGAAAATACTGGAAAGGTTTGGTGGGCAGTGTCCTTTGGTTTTGGAGTTGTAGTTCACCTACATCCAGAGATCACTGTGGACTCAAACAATGATGAATCTGGACCAAACTCTACACAAATACTCAATATGCCCAAATGTGAACACTGGTGGAGTTTGGGGAAAATAGAATCTTGATATTTGGGAGTTGTAGTTGCTGGGATTTATAGTTCACCTACAATCAGAGCATTCTGAACCCCACCAAGGATACAATTGGGCCAAACCTCCCACACAGAACCCCCATGTGGGCCACAGCAAAAAATTGACAGTTCATTGGGAGATTGTTTTTAAATCTATACCTGAAGAAGCAGCTTCCTTCTCATCTTCCTTTTTCACTGGCACCGGAGGTGGGGGAGGAGGAGGCATCAGCTTGGAATCAATGTCTTCCGAATCAGCATCGTAGTCGTCGTCATCATCTAAGGAATGAAGTGGGGTACTCACTGGTCAGCCCTGCCATCAAGCCACAGCTCCGACCCATTATCAGAACCCACCAGCGTGAATGTCCCAAGACTATCAGGCACCGTCCCGCATCCCGAAAGCTCCAGTTCCCCTTGTTTTCCCCCAAGCTGCCATTTACATGCTTATTTGACTTTAAAAGTGTCCGTGTCACCCTTCAATGTAAAGGGGAATCTAGAACTGTTAAGGAAAAACAGAGCAAAGCCATTGCTTCCATCCTCGGCCCTTTGATGACTCTCTGGGTTTGATCCAAACCTCTCATGTTTGCTTTAGCTGCTTTGTTACTCATGACAT